GTGATTTGAAACCAGTGTCAGTATAATAGGTAAGCATGTGGTTAACTTAAGCAAGAATTTAGTCCAATGAAACTGTTTAAAATCTTAATACCTTCCGACGAAAATTAACCCTACCGGCGTCACCACTGCGTCCCCACCGATCGTTCTAACGTGACGTTGTTGTGTGGGTGTTTTATAGATTATTGAGAATGGTAATATCACCGAAAAAATATATAAAATGACAGTTGAATGACCAACAAAGACAACTGAAGACAATAATTCGTCATTTGAAGTTATTTAGTATAACTTTATTGGAAAATAACCCTACTTAAATTAACCATTATTTTTTGTTCACGGTAAACAAAGAGGGTGGCTAGCCACCCTATTCACCACCATCACCCCCTCCCCCAAATCCGCCACTGATTGGGGTTTTGTATTTTTTTTCAAACTGCAAACTATATTTGTAATTGAATTATATAATTTTGTAATTGTATTTGTAGATTTACGATTTAGGCCTATAATTGTAAATGGGAGCAACTTTAATTGTGTAATTGTTAATCACCATAGAAATTTAAATTATTTTTACGTATGTAGGTGTGTCAGAAGGTGCACAAATGAATGGTGTAGTAGTGTGAGACAGGGCGGTTTTGCCACTATTTTAAAAATGACAATGCATATTAATGTTATGTGCTACTCATTTATCTATTCTGGAACTGTTGTGTGCCCCCTCCCACTTTGAAAAATTTTTGATCCGCCCCTGTGACAAGTATCAATAGTACAGTAATAATGACATCATACCAACCCGCTGTTTTTACTTGACTAAGTTAGTATAATTAAAGATATATCATTATTTTTATGAATGTGGGTACGTTCGTTTGTTTATTTATTTATTTACTCTAAGATAGAGATGGCAGGCTATAAAGGAAATTCCTATTCCCAATAGGATTCACTTACCATAATACATTCAGAACAAATAGAACTTTATTATTCGTTAACCTAAAAATCCATTAAATACGACTTGCTATACATAAGGCTATCTTCCCCGGAACCGACTGGGGCTTTCCCCTGTCTCACAGGCAAAGCTTGAGCAAATTGTTAGCTCAAAAATAGAAATAATAGAAATTTTTAAGTAATTCGCATATAACTCGCACAGGTTGTTGTTCGCACAAGTGGATCTTCTTCCACTCGGAAAAAAAATCCACTCGAATTCGCTCGAATTGGCCTTCGCTCGAAGTGGCATCCGCTCGAAATGACTGGTTCCCAGGCTGGGACATGAAAGGTTATTGTTTGTTGTTATTTCGCAATTCGCGACGTCATCAACGAGCACAATACATTCAATCCCGTAACATTTTTGTCTATTTAAAAAAAGTGTGTAAGTTATGGAGATTGTAACAATCATAAATCGATTATAAATTTAATTATACATTTTTAGACAAAAAATAAACCCTCTTGGCCCACGGCCCATTTTTTTTGACACCATGACCAAGCGTAATATTAACCTGCAGTGTATATATACGAAGATTTTTTTCTAGTAGGATTAGAGTTGACTAACTGGTACTTGGTGTGGTACTAGGTTTATCGCATTTATGGCTTAGGGGCCGCGGTTTATCTCCCTCCGTTTAGTCATGCTGAATCAGGTGTAGTAAACTCGACGATCGTGGGTTCGATTCCCACACGGGGCAAGTTTTTTTTTAAATTTTTAAATTTATTTAAGGTCGTGGGTTCGATTCCCACACGAGCCAGTTTATTTATTTATTTTTTTTAAGGCAGTTTAGTTGATGGTGGATAATGATAGCAAATCTGGAGGTTGTGTGTTCGATTCCCACACGAGCCAGTTTTTTTTTGTTTTTTTTTTGAAAATTATTATTATTATTATTTTTATCGAAATTAGTGTTTTGATGGTGATTTTTTTTTTCATTCAATGGGAATTCATATATTTTATATGAGAAGAATCTATGAATATTCACCTTTCTGTTTACTGGATCCGCCACTGGTTATAGCTCTGGAGTTGGAACATGACCGAAGTACGTTTTGGTATACCAAATATACCTCGAATATTAGTATACAAATGCAATTGTCCAGGATGCCTCGGTAGTACAGTATATAGACAAAATCGTAAACCACGCATACACAACAACTGGAGAAACATTCTTTTGCATCCGCTGCACCACACTTATAGAATCTGTTACCGGATTAAACAACCAAAGTACCTGCCTCAGCATTTTTGAGAATCAGCTTAAGACGTTTTTGTTCACTTCATCCTTACGATAAATACACACAAAATAATCTGTTTAAATTTTTTCAATATTGTACTTTTAGGCATAGGCCTAGATTAAGTTTAGACCACTCCTGTAAAATCGGCGGTGTGGGACCACCTTTAAAGGGCAACCCATAAATGGAAGCGCGAGACGTTCCATCCCTCTGTGAGTCTTAGGATTTGCCAATTAGGAATTCTGCCTTGGCCAAGCAAAGGCACTCCTCAAGCCTCTCCCACCAGGGATACGGTTACTATTAATTTTTTTTTTTTATTCGTCACCGTTAAGATTACAAACTGATAACTCTCTCGACTTCTGTTTTGCGCCATGAGCATCTTTGATGGATACTTTGGCGAATTATAAATGTACACTATTATTATTATTAAAAGGTTCGAGCTGTTGAGCATTCTCGTAATGAAAATAGTAGTGTACATAAACACATTGAAAGTTGTGAAGGTTTTCCATAGACCTATAATAGGTCTTCCATGACTAATAACATTAACACAACGTAGCAAATTTTTATTTATTTTGCTCTTAAAAAGAGCAGAATACTTGCAAAAACTACTTTACCGTAATTTAATGTATGGGCCAGTGGCCTATAGGCCTATTTCCAATGAATAAAACCCCATAGGGTAAAAGAAAATATTGACTTTTTAAAGGTTTACCCTTTTATTTTATGCATGTTGTGCCTTCTGTTCATTTTTAATTTTCTGTTTTGTATATATTTTAACCAAATTTTTATGTTTAATTTTCAATTCGTAATTTATTTTACTAAAATTTATAAACAAATTTATAAATTTTGCATAATTTTTATTAATTTCATTTGATAAGTCACGATTAAACACGGAGAGGTCCCTGACTAACCTTGTTTTTACTTTTGAACATAACCCAGCTAAGATTTAATCACTTTTAAAACTTTATATAAAAATTAGTTATGTATATTTCTTCCCAATTATATATATTTATAAAATCATTTAAACATCCCATTACTACACTGTTTACATTCTAAATAAAACTTTTTTTTATTTTCGCCTCCATCTGGGTGTTTTTGGCAAACCCATTTGCTATATAGGAAAACAAAATTTTATTTCTTTTTTTTCCACCCTCATCTGACAATGAAAACAATTTCGCGAAAAAAGGTATAAAAAATTCCCGCCAATTAGGGGTACCCATACTCGGGGAACACTAACCAGAAATGTGAAATTGTGACTGTATTTTGTCAATCTTGTCTGCCAGCATTTATTTTGTGGGACATTATCGCATCAAGAATGAGGTACGTTTAAAATAAATAAGATCACCCCAATTTGTCGACTTTAACAAATATCAATGAAAAGAAACGGTATTATTTCATGTCTGTTTATTTGAGGACAAAGGTAAACATAAATCATACACAATAATTGAAATCATCAAGTCATAAACTTATTTTAAATAAAAATATATTTTTCACAAACAATTTCCACAGTTATATACTACCCAGTTTGTTACAATAAAACAAATGTTTGTAATAAATAATATGACTGAAAATGATTAACTTTTAGTTCAATTTTATAAAATTATGTCTTAATATTTTACCACTAACTTTAAATTAGTTATAATTTAGTAATAAAATCGGCCTATGTTTCCTTTTGTTAGTTTATACCAAAATACAATTACTTTGGGATAATTAAAAAATGAATAACATTTGTTCAGTAGTTTATATGGTTAATAAACACAGATTAATTGGATAGAATGGAAGACTAAATTATTACATACAATAATATGAAAATGAAGTGGGAAGAATATACACCAAGTTTTAAAATGTAAACAATAATAGTAATAATAATGTAAATATGATAATAATATTAACTAGCACTAACTTGGACTAAGGGGAATATCTTTTGTGTTATTTTCCCCTTAACACATCGCCTTAGGGTAGGTTTTAGTAACATAATAATAATAATAATAATAACAATAATAATAATAATAATAATAATAATAATAATAATGTTACTATACTAATACTTATTAAGATGATGATAAAATTTTTAAGGAAATTTCAAACAAAGAAAAAAAACCGCGTTCAAAAAGCGGCCTAATCTAAATCATGGGGCACAAATGTTTTTACAGCACCAGTATATTTTTCAGTACTATCATGATTATAGCTGAAAAAATGCAATAATAATAATAATGATTATTATAATAATAAACAAGATTAATAATTTAAAAAAAAACAATAGTAATATGAAAATAATAACTAAAATAATATTATTAATAAAAACAATAATAATAAATAGTAAAAACAAAATTTAGTTGTATGTGCTTACAGGCAGCCAATTATTTTAACTTCTGCTTCGATGTATCCCACTTGTGACGGCCTACATGTCATTACTTGAAGGTAAGAAAGCACAAAAAGTATGATAAATCCTACAAATTAATAAAGGCACTATATTAATACTGATATATTTTTTTAAATTAACCAACTGCACTATGCTTTGCCATTTATCTCATATTTTAATTATTTTCTAATCAAAAATATGTACAATGATAATAAACAATATAGCAATATTATATTACTAAGGACAAAAGCCAACAATAATGATAATGACGATATTATCAACAATAATCATTAGCTCAGTGGTTAAGGTGCTTGCCTTCCAATCTCAGGGTCCTGGGTTCAATTCCTGTCAGTGTTACAGGATTATTTCACTCATGACCAAAACAACTCCACTCCCTAAACCTCTACTGAGATATAGTTTCGCGTGTGTAGTATCGCGTGTGTATGTTTGTATTGTAAAAGAGCTTGTCACCTACAACTAGGACAGTGATATATATTTAGTGCATGTTTTGCACCTAAATACATAAATAAAATTATACTAATAAATGGCATCGACATGTCACATGTCAACATCAGTAATTCATACTAATAACATAATAATAATAATATTGTGCATAAGTTTTTCTTCACTGAATTTCCTAAACATAAACATTAAATTATAATTTCCATTTTCAACCTCAGATACATAAGTTCTTCATAGGTTTATAAATTACAACAACAGCTGTAACAATTTGCTGGCATCATTAATGTTTATATTATTTGGTACTTATTGTGTACCTAGGAACAACACAGGTTTATCCCATGTCTCCCTCCTTTAATCAATAATAATCTACTATTTTTCAACATGGCAAACCTACACAACCAAAAGGCTGTTCTACCATTGGGCTGTGAACACACATAGTCAATCACTCAATCCTTGTTAATTTTTCATTTTAGTTTTAGCTAGACCCGCAGTCAGGCTTAATCAACATAAACTGTTTCTTGTTCAACATCACCATGAAAGACCACACCTTCATTTCTTAGCACTGAGCATGTGCTCTGAGCAATCATGTGCACAGTGCACTGAGTAAGTGCATGAAGTATATGCACTGAGCAAGTGCTCTGAACAATCATGTGCCCATAGTACGTGCACTGGGTATGTGCACTAAGCATGAGCACCAAGATCTTGAACTGAGCACATGCTCTGAGCAATCATGTGCACTGAGTATGTGCACTAAACACGAATACTGAAAACTGGCACTGAGCACATGCTCTGAGCAATCATGTGCACTGAGTAAGTGCACTGGGTATGTGTACTAAGCATGAGCACTGAGAGCTTGCACTGAGCATGTGCTCTGTGTAATCATACGCACTGAGTATGTGTACTGGATAAGTGCACAAAGCATGAGCACTGAGAACTTGCACTGAGCATATGCTCTGAGCAATCATGTGCACTGAGTATACTGTATACACTGGGCATGTGCACACTAAGCATGAGCACTGAAAACATGCACTGAGCATATGCTCTGAGCAATCATGTGCACTGAGTATACTGTATGCACTGAGTATACTGTATGCACTAAGCATGAGCACTGAGAGCTTGCACTGAGCATGTGCTCTTAGCATGTGCTCTTAGCAATCATGTGCTCTGGGTATGTAAGGCATGTGCACTGAGAGCTTGCAATGAGCACATGAGGCAACCCCACTGAGCACATGTTCTGGGCATGTGCACTGTGTATTCACATTTATGTGCAGTGAGCATATGCAGTGAGTGATGAGCGTGTACACTGAGCATGTGTAGTGAAACACTCCAACCGAGTACTCACTGAGGCTTGCATGTAATAAGTTTCTACTATCAACTCTCATCATCAATCAATAAATATACTGGCAGAAAGGTTCTGATGTTATACATAAAGAGTAGGCTTCACTGTATTGGTCCAGCTTTCCTCCCAACGGTATTCCTGGAAGGATTTTAGGTTCTCGCGGAACGTTTGCAATTTGGTCTTTTTTTCTGGGAAGCCACAAAGAAGCACCTGAAAAAAAACCAAAAAAAATCGAAATTTATTAAAATCTATCAATACGCAAGGACATTAGCTTTTAAAAATGCCATTATTAATGAATTTCCCAGAATTTGGACTTGTCTCCCGGATGATCTCAAAGACTCTTTAATGTTGAACTTGTATCTAAATTTTGATTAATTAATGAGATGTTCTCAGGTATTATTTTTATTTAATTTTTTAGGTCCTATTTACTTATTTGTTTTTGTATTTATTTATTTTACATGTTTATTTCTGTTTACAATTTCCTTGACCCTTAATGTATTTTTTTATTTTGTTTTCTTTTCATTTTTATTCATTTTAGCTCCTTTTAAGTTGTACATAAAAACTGTATATAGAAAAATTAATTTATGCTGTAATTTATTTATTTTTTAGTTTTTTTATTTTTTATTTATTTATTTATTTTAACTGTTAATTTCATTTTTGTTAATTTTTTGTAAATAAATTATTGATATCTTTTTATTTATACTTTCTCTAATTTCCTAAGACTGGGTTGATGGGCTTTCGAGCCAGAGTGTTTGTCACTATCATCAATCCTAGCCATCTTAGGTTATTTTTCTAGTTGTTTGTTATTTCCGTTGTTTCTATTGTGTAAATTGTATTGTAAATTTTTTCTAGCTGAATATAGAATGAATAAATTCACAGTAAAGAAAAGGAACAAAAAGTAAATGTGAAAGTAAGGAAGAACAACCAGCCCTGGTTACTAGTTCTAACCTAAATATAAACTGTACTGTTTATCTGAAAAATCACTCAAAAATTAAACATAAAATTTTTAATTGCTCCCAAATAAAAAACTATTAAAATGGTATTTTGTTAATGTCAGTAAAACAGGGTAAATTTTTTGTTTTTGTTCTAATTTTTTAGTTGGAAGCCAAAGGTTTATATAAATATGTAAATACTCTAACAACATTTTTTTCTTTTGAATTTTCTCAAAAATTCATGATTGTATAATTTTTTTAGAAAATTAGGGGTAGCTGTCTCCTCAGAGTTTAAGTGAATATTTGCTTAAACTGCCCCTCCCATGAATACTGTTGTTTTTAATTATGTATTGTGTTTAGTCAAATAAATAAATGAAACTAATTGAGTTATCACACTCTAGACCAGATACGCTATCATCATTTATATAGTATAGTATGTACATACTACAAAGTTTAAAGTTCAAAAGTTCATTTTATTGGTCCTTAGGCAACAGTGAATACATATGGAATTTGCTTTCCCAGTAACAATGAATAAAAATACTAACACAGTATATACAGCTGAACTTCCATAAGTCGAATCCAAAAATAGCATTAAAAAATTATTCGAATTGGATAATTTTGACTGACTTACTTAATGGAAAACACAACAATTTGGCATGTAAAATAAGACTAAATTATTTGAGTTAGGCAAAGTCATATTACACAAGCTTTACAGTAATAAAATATGAAAATACAGTACAGTACATATTTTTTACCCTGACCTACATATTTATCTAGCCCTACATTAAAAAAAAACATAAACAAAATTTAATGGTACCAGGATGTTTCTTTGACTGTTCAGAGAGGCATTCCTGCTAACACAGTCTTCTGACAAAAACAGTTTCTCAATATATACTTGTAGGTTTTAGTTACTTGTTGCTTATCTTACCTGTAGTTGTTCAGCAAGTTCACTTTCATTTTGGAAGATCAATCCATTTTCTTCATGTTTAACCAACTCATTCAAACTAAAGCAAAATAAAACAGTAAAAATTTTAACTATGATGTACACCAAATTGTTACAATATCATAATTGCTCCAATATGTGCCACTATCACTTAAGCAAGCATGATTTTTTTTTTGTGCTAAGAGCTGCTCTGGAGTAAGCACACATTATATTATGATATACTTAAGGCTAACTCAGACAGTGTTCTACGACTCGGCCTATTGTAATTCATCATTGGGGACAGTGTTTAGATCGCTGAGAAAATATTAAACATGTTTAATATTCTGTCCCCCGATGCAGGCTATCATGCGTTTCAAATCATGCAGACCCAATGCAACAAGAAATTGCAGATGCTGTTTGAGTTGGCCTTTAATTAACAGTTCATATCCGACATGTTTTGTAATTCTAATTCTATGCTGATACTCATCAATGACTTTTCAGCATCCGGATGAGGGCAGGGGCTATGAGACGGACCAGTACACTGAGGCCCCCTACTTGTCTCAAAAGGTGTAGTGGGTTCTTTATAGTGCACATAAGCCAACTGCGTAGGCTGGGCCTACAGTTTATAGTCCTTATCTGAGGAGACTTGCTCCACCTCCAGAGCCATAGGCGAGCGTGCCATGAACCAGTGCTGATATTAAGGCTGTAGGTTAGGGCTTCTGCTGTAACCGCTCTGTTATCAATTCAACTTCATATTATCAATATAACATTAAAAAATCAAATTTCTCATGAATTCAATTAAATTAATATTGCAAGTAAGATATAAGCATATATTCAATACACCTACCAATTTTGCACAATAATAATTTGTAATAGCGCCCTCTTGAATAAGCACTGCTTTTAAGCCTCCAAAAAATGAACATGTGCTGTGGTGTTTATTGGATCATTCACAGGATATGACGCAAACTTGTATTTTTTGGGGGGACTACCACCCTCCGCTTCACATCAGGAGGTAGTCCAAATCATCCGACACATCAGGAATTCGAATTCACTACTTTACCTCAAACCGTGTTATTTTTGTATAATGCCAGATGTTTCTGTCGGTGTTGTAAGGTCTTGCAAAATGTCACCATGTGTTATATAGAGTATGGTTCTGAGAAAGGAACTGTGTTTGCTGACTCAATGGTTATTAGTATATTTATGGAAGTGACATATATTTGGTCTTAATAATAGAGGCTGTAAAGTGCATTTAGTTGAAAAATGTCTTCATGTACTAGATTTTAAAGGCTTGTAGGGTTTACTAAGTCAAAAAAATTGTCAACTTACCAATTGAAATTGATGGCACAGACAGGAAGGCCACAACCAAACATATCAACAACTTTCATTGGTAAATCCAGACCACTGGAAGAGGTATGCAAACACACGCCCAAGTCAGCAGCACCTGATGTTTTTAAAAGAGTTGAAATTTGAGGGAAACATCATGTGAACACGGTTCATGATTTGGACGAGAATGAATACTCGTTTTACAGTATTGCACACGGACGGGAAATGAGGATTCTCGCAGCCATTAGATGTTCATTTGCTTTAGAATATGGGACCTGCCAAGTCAAAACCACTTGGTCAGTGACCAAAACAAAAAAATTGACTTTTTTAATATATTCTCCACATTATAAACTTTAAAATTAAACGTCATTACTAGAATCGACTATACTATTGCCAAAGTTATGAGTAAAAGTATTATCCCTTATCTGTACTAAAGTATACAATACTGTCACATTCCTATGCTTATTACTCAGTTTAACATTTGTGTGGAAAGATTGATATCACCCTTACCATTAAACTTAAATGTATATAAAAATATGAATATAATATGCAAATGCATATATTTTATGTTAATTAAATGTGTAAATACTTAAAATAACATCAAGACTAAACACACATATTAACCATAAGTGGTGGACCCAGGAATTTTGAAATAGAGGGGGCCCACAGAGGGACTTTCACAGATGGAGGGTCTATACTACCTCAGCTCCCACCGTGGTTGGGGCTCAGGGAAGAAAATTTATGATTATGGCACCTCTAGAGGCCAGAAATGGCACTCTTAGACTAAAAATTTGAGAGTTGAATTTTCTTTTTTTCTAATTTTTTTTTTTTTTTAATTTTGAAAACTTTAAGGGGGCCCCTTAAATCTGCCACTGACCATATTATTCATTATATGAGCAATTACTTAGAAAAGTAAATTGCTCAGACTTATACATACAAATATATATCTCATGCGTAACTGCATATAAAGCATTGTGAATCGCATACCTAGTAAAAGTGGGTAGTCCTCTGCAGTCAGCCAAGGTGTACATATTTTTACATGCTTGAAACTTTTCTTAGCAATTATATCTTGATAGTATTTCTTCTGAGGTCCTTTTCCGGTGATAGCACACACAAGAGGTGGTAAATGGCTTAATTTGTCACCTAACTCTTTAGCTTTCTCATATTCTAAACACAATATAAATATAATTTAATAAAACAAAAACAAAAAATTATATATTTTTTCACAAAAAACATATTCAATCAGAATTGATTTAAGCTTAATCATCATCTATCAAACATCACCTTTAATACTCATAATCAACATAATCATTATCATCATACATTATATTTAAGCACCATCATCAATATCATCAATCATCACGAACCAACAACATCATCATCATCATCATTATCAACATAATACTTAGAATCAGTTTACAAAGCAGCTTAACTCAGTTGGCTTCGGTGGTCATAGCCACTGTGTATGCGCTAATCTGTGGCGACACCACCAGGAACTTGCCTGTGGTTTATATTCAACAGCAGATCTTGTGTTTCTGCTAGATATACAGTAGGTAAATTGCAAATTAACATAACACTCTTTTAGATAAGCTGTTCAGGCCATCGGTACCATTTGCAATAAGGTCTACAGTATGTGCATGTTAAACAACAAAGTAGATTCTTCAGACAAATGGCAGGGGATTGTCTCCTGGCATACTACTCAAATAACCACCAAAACGACATCATTGGAAATAAGTATTGGACCAACCAATCAATAATACTCATCAATCATTAATCATTATCATTCATCGTTATCCTCCTCATATTCATACTCCTCATCCTCCTCCTCATCATCATCATCATACTACATATTTTTAAGCAGTAGTTGGTTACTTACTTTCAAGTGCACCAAGCAGTATTGAGAAGTCCTCATCCTCAGTCCAACTGGTACTGCTGATCAGTAGAGCCGGTCTTTGAGATTTCTCCACTACACCAGATGATCTTGTGTCTTCAGTGAATGCTGTCTTGATTCCTCGGGTACTGCCATCACCGAAGCTAGAATACTCTTCAGAAAGCTTAAGAAAAAGCTGTGTGAGAAAGAAAAAAGAAGAAAAATGAATGATTTAATAAATTCTTATCATGTCTACAAACCTGCTAGGTACATTGTTTCAGCCTGAGCTAGAGACAGTTTTCAGTTGGCACAACCATTGTACTCTGCCAGATTCATCAGGTGACATGATGAAAATGAGGATAAGCAACAAAAAGCTCTTTCTAGACTATTAAATTTTATTTGATAAAAAACTGTTGTATGCCATATATGTGGCAAAGACAAGCCAAACCAGTCACTCGTCGGAAAAAAAAAAAAAATCAATTTTTAGTTATTAATACAGGGTTTAACAGTAAAATGGGAGCTATAAAATGGTAAAAGAATCATTTAAATCCGACACTTCGTTATGAAGTTACACGAGTTTAAACATACAGCTGTTTAAAGAACAATATTTGAGAAATCAGCCTTCAAAGTTTACGATTTCAGGCATTAATTAGGCAGAAACCATCACCAAATCGTTAAAAATTGTTGAAAATGAGGAAAATAAGAGCATAGCATGATGTATAGATATATAAAGGTTAGTTTAGTGCAATAAAATAGATTTCCAAAATTTTGAAATTCCAGCATGCTTTGGCCATTATCTCCAAAACAGGATTTGCGACGAGTGACTGGTTTGGCTTGTCTTTGCCACATATAGTCATGATGTGCTTATATATAAGCCTGGTTCTCACGAGAGCCCGAGTATCCGGATCGGGAGCTAACCATTAGCGCTAACCGTTAGCACCTGCGTGAGAATGCCCGATCGGTTAGCGCTAACCGTTAGCGGTATCCGGATACGCTAATGGTTAGCAAGCGCTATCGGTTAACAAGTTGAGGGCGTTTCTATCATCAACCAATCACACATACGTGTTTAAAATTTCCAGTTTCTTATTCGATCATCATATATTTGGTATCCGGATCAGGATTTTCTCACATGGACGCACAGCAGCTAACGGTTAGCAGGATACAAATTCTGCTAACCGTTAACAGCCGTGTGAGAACATAGCCCTAGTCATCATGTGATGTCATCATGACCATATTTAGGCATTTCACATGTTTTTTTGTCAAATGAAATTTGATAGTCTGCACAGGGCTTTTTTGGTAATGTGTTCACTAGAATGACACTAACTTGTTGGGCTGTCCTTTCATGTTACTGAAGATCTTTTAAACACAAAATAACAAACACACCTCATGTTTTTGTTTGAGTGCAGTTTCTTGAAATATCTCTGGTGGTCGGTCATAGAGTGTGTTCGCCTTGATCGACCAATTCTTCTTCAAATCTTCTTTCATTGCATTTGTCACACAGAAGTGTCCATCTGCTTTCTTGCCAAAAAAATTCTCAAACCTTAAAAAAAAGAAAAAAAAAGAAAAATTATGAATATAATCAATAGAAGTACAATTTGCCCTCCAATCCGAGACCACCTTTGGGACCTGAAAATTTGGGGTGATCTCGGGTTTGGTCACCATTTAGAGGGTTAGATTTGTGTTAAAAGATTGAAGATTGTCATTTGGCTCTTTGAAAATGTGATCTCGAATTAGAGGGGTTTCGGAATTAAAGGGGGTCACAAATTAGAGGGTGCATTGTAGTATGAACAATAACAATATAAACAATGAACAATAAAAATATTAATTAATTAATATCTTTTCACTTGTACTTTTAATGTATTATTGTATTATTATATCTCTAATTTCACCTTTTCTAAATATACAATTTAAAAAAAAAATTACTACTGTAATTAATTAACATTAACAATTCATTTTATAATGCAATTTGTTTTTTTATCTACATCTGATGTTTTTAAATAAAGATACCGAAATATATATTAAGAATTCCTGAAAAAAAAAAATCATCTGGTTTCATAATACGACTAGCATGTAGACTTACAGTACAGAAATGTTATCAATTATTACATTTTTAAATAAATATATATAAAACAAATCATACCATGTAGCAAATCTAACGAGGAGGTGTTGACTGCCAACACTCATGCCCAAGATTGTGTAACCGTAGTTGTGCCAATCAATAATGTACTTACTGCCGTAGATAATACGAGCACACCAAGCAACAAATAACGTGGGTATTGATGGAGGATTCTGGGGAGAAAATGTAACGGATATCATAGTATTGGCTAGGAGTAAGTTAGCTGACCAGTATAATAATAAATAATAATAATAATATTAACAATAATAGTTATAAAACAATAATTTTAAACAATAAATAAAAAACAATAACAAATATTTACATAGCACCAATTAAAAATAAGAATAATGATGATAATAATGATGACAACAATAACAATAATATAGATAATAATATTTGTAATAATACTTTTACAAAGGAAGGTCAGTTACAAAAGAGGTGTTCTTCCATGAGGCCGTATCTTGTACACAAAATTAAACAAATATAAGTAAAAATGTACAACTAAGAGAAAAAAGAAAAAAAGCTGGAAACCAAAAATAATCAGATATCACAAAAATTAAAACTGTACTTAAATATTATCAAATTTAGATTGAAATTTTATTTTTTAATTTTTAGGATTAGCACTAGTTTCTCAAGATTGTTTGGTAAATCATTCCTTTTCAAGATTTCATATCTATAAAAGGAGAATTCTGGAAAAAACATTAACTTTTTTTTAATGGTAATCACTCAGAATACATGCATGTGTTAACGAACCTGCCAAGAAAACAAAAATAATTATTACAGCATCTACAGTAATTGTTTTAACACAACATTAGCAGTACATTTGCAACTGCTTTTAGTATAAGGTTCTCATTGAGTGACATTGATGAAAGAAAATCTTTTCATGGGTCATTTTGCATAGCACCACCTAATAATTTAGGTGTTTTTCCAAATGAGGCTTTGAAGGGTTGTCTCTTTGGGAAGGGGGAATTTATTTAAAGCAGTGCATTTATTCAATTTTTTTAAATTTTTATTTTATTACTTATTTAGGCACACAGCACATGCACCAAGAATTGTAAGTAGTACACATATCACACTCCTACCTGTAGGTGACAACCCCTTACACATGATGATTCACACAAAACTAAATCTCAATAGAGAGGTTTCGGGAGTGAAGTTCATTCATTCATTTATTTATTTCACTTTTATTGCCAAATTCCAAAAGCATATACAAAATGAGTTAAACAATAATAATAATAATAATAATAATAATAATAATGGGCTAAAAATAATAATAATAATAATAATATAATAATAATAAATAAAAGTAATAAATAATAGTAATAAATAATAACAATAATAATAATAATAATAATAATAATAATAATAATAATAACAACGACAATAATACAAGTAATTGTAAACATGATGAGACTCAGTCTTAAACTTAAGAATATACTCTTCGAGTAAATATTTTTTAAGCATTGTGTTAAAATGTATTCTTGAGTTAAGTTGTTTCGATTGTGAGAAAAAATCCTGCAACAGTGACAGGAATTGAATCCAAGACCCTGGGAATGGAAGGCAAGCATCTTAACCACCAAGCAATTCAACACCACTCAGAATAAATATGGTATGTGCAAATCACACACTTCTCACATAAACTTGAGAGGGAGGCCAAGATTTGTCGTGGAGTTGGGAACTCTTACCTGGACCATGATGTGTGATGGCCATCGAATACTAAAGAATAGGACGAAAAACAACTGACACACTTGAAAAAGCACCTTTACTACATACTGGAAAATCTTTGGTAAAACTAAAAAATAAAGAAATAAAATATGATCAGCAAAAATGTAAATGTAAATATATTTGCTTCCTTGCTGAAATATCAACAATGACAATGAGAATCACGGGCAGCCACAGTGCACAGTGACAGTTCCAGGATTTCGAAATATTGAGAGCGAGATGGCCCAGGGAGGGTCTTTCACAAATGGAGGGTGTAGACAGCCCCACCAAGGTTGGGGAGGTAAGAAAATTTATGTGATTACAGATACTGTACGTTAAGTAACGCCGAGGCGTTAACAGAATTAATACAGTATCTAAATAGAAGGAAGATAGATAGATGGCACCTCTACATGGCTGGAAATTTTAGATGAATTACAATAATTTTGAAATATTTAGAGGGCCCAAGGCTGGCTGGGTCCCCCTTGAATCCACAATTTGGTTCAGTGCCTGGCAGGGTTTGCACACCAGAAGACAAGTACAGTACGCAAACTTAACCACTGTCCTAAAACTTTCACAAGACAAAACATTATACACATGATGCTTTACATTTAAAAGTCTTCTGATAGCTTAGGTAGTGGAGTTTGTTTTTGCACCAGTAGTGACGTCACGATTAAAGCGGGCTAAGCATTAAGACCGTCTAAAGACCGCAATCCGCCACAGATGCATAAAAATAATACCTTTCTCTTTAAATTTACTGACAAATTTTAGGATTTATAAATGTATCACAAAAAAATCTTAATTGTTTGATTATTTTAATTAAAGACTGACAGACTTGTTTAAATTTTTTTAATCCAATATCTATATTTTGTTTGGATAAATTATACAGCTAATGAGAGGGAGGATGTTTTAATGAACCTTCCCGGACTGGATTGTCAATCAAACTTAACAACTGACCAATCAGTGATGTCCTACAAACACACATGTTTATGAATATTAATGCAATTGATTTGTGGGACTTTGGCAACAATATCCAGGGGGCGGGGCTTAACTGAAAGGTCCATTAAAGTGTTTTTTTCTTCTGTTCCTTTTTTTTCCTGTTTTCTACTTTCTCCCATTGTATACTTTTCTACCTTTGTTTCTTTTTTTCCTGAGGACTCCTTCAAATCGGTGCACTGTGAATTCATATAATGCGCCTTATAATTCGAAGACTGAAATGGATTGGATTGGATTGGAAAGATGAAATGAAAACCAGTATACAAGATTTATCATTCATGAATGTTGGAAAGAAAGTATGGAAAACACATATATACAATATATATTAATTATAGTGTAATTGTAAATGTGTATTATTCATGAAAATGCCGGAAAAATAGAATGGAAAAAACATACAATATATGTTATTCATTTAAATATAAGTAGTGTTTATGAAAGTGCTGGATATACGGAATCGAAAACACATTAAAACCTATATTATTCATGATGTAAATTATAAGATATTTATATTTTTGGTCAGTTTACAAATTACATTAACTAGTGATGTGATTGTCTTCAAACTGTGGATTACAAAACAAATTTTGGTTGGCAAAACCTTTCTGTGGATCATAATTCAGACTGTTTCTAAACAAGATGAGAACTTTGGATAAGGTAGCATATAACCTCGGCAAAAATTGACAAGTTATGCAATTTTCGATCCAGACTAAAAAATCTAGTTCCTAAAATATCAATCATTTGGGAATCTGAAAATAGGTCACACCATGAAAAATTTTGAGAACCATGGTGACAGATATCAAAATATAAATGTTATTGTGTTTGTATTATGGTGGCAATATCAGGTTTGGTCTTTTTGCGTACAAACAACTCATTTTGGGTGGTCACATGGTTCATGATCAGAGCCAACGAGATGGAGAGATTGATTGAATGATGTTAGTTGTTACTTACACTGTGGCAGGCTAGGTGGTTCCCGTAGTATATGCTGTTTAATGCTTGCATTTTGTACCAGATCTGGATGTGGTACAGAGCCTAAAATGACAAATATGAAAATAGAAAACAATTAAAGACAAATGGTAATGGTGGGATATAAATAATAAACAAACAAACAAATAAATAAATAAATATATAAATAAATGGTAGGATATATATAATTATATATATAATATAAATATAAATACTATATATATATAATATATATATATTATA